GTCGCAGGTGTCAAGCGCAGCGTCGCGGCCCCCCTCCAGCCGGAGTGGTGCCCGCGGGGTCACAAGTGAACACAGCGCACCTGTCCCACTGCTACACTGAACGAGGTGTTCCCAACTGACCGGAGGCAGGACCAGAGTCTGCCAGGTGGTCTGGGGAACGGACGGGTCATTCGCCCAGTTGGTCACGCTTACCTGTTCATCAAGCAGAATTTCATTCACATGACAGGTACAGAGACCCTACCAGGCGCCAGGTGGAGGTGGTCAGGGGGCAGAAAGGTCAACAAAGGCAGTGCCTGCCCCTTCCTGGGGGCCTGGCAGCCCTTGCTGCAACGGTGGGAATGTTCTGCATCCACGGGGTCTGTCCAGCAGGGCAGCTGTGGCCACACATGGCCCCCGGAGCACCTGAAGGGTGGCTGGTGTAACTGAGAAGTGGATTTTATTTTATTTTTATTTTAATAGCCACCTGTGGCTAGCGGCTTCCCTATGAGTGTAGATCTAGGAGGAAACAGACCCCCAAACTAGAAAAGGCAGGAGAGAATTTTTAATGCTATTTTCTTCCTTCTGTACGTCCATTACAAATTTTCAGTGAGCACCAGCTGTGTTGGGGGTACCATGTTCGGCACTGGGGATACAGCAACGAACAGAACAGAAACAGTGACCACCTTGGTGGAGATTCCATTCCAGAGGGGGAGGTGAAGACGAGAAATTCGTGAAAGAATAAAACAACTTCCTGCAGAGACAAGTGCAGTGACAACAGCTAGGAAGGGAGCGCTGGCGTCTGGGCAGGGGCTGCGCAAGGCAGCTCTGAGGAGGTGACGGTTAAGCAGACCTGAGTGGTAGGCAAGAACCAGCCAGGCAAAAATCGACGGGAAGAGCATTCTAATACATGGAGAATGGCAGGTGCAAAGGCCCTGAGGTCCGAGGAACAAAGGGAAGCTCTAAGTAAGGCTACTGGAGAGTGACCAGAGGGGATGGTGGTGGGAAACGAGGCCTGTGAGGAAGGCCGAGGTCAGATACCCACCAGCCAACACCCAGACACGACGCTACCCCAAGAGCTGCCAAAACCCGTGTGGTTTGACGGACAGCTGCCCACAGACCCAAAGGATGTAAAGTTCGGGGCCAAAGGCTGTTACACTTACCGCTCCAGAGTCTCCTACACAAAACAAGAGACAGTGCAATAAACTCCTTAAAAAGAGTTTTCAATTCTGATTTGAATAGATAAAAGAATTGTAGTGTGTGTGTACATGGTGTACACACCCACACACACACACACAAAAACACACAATGGAAAATTACTCAGCCATAAAAAAGAATGAAATAATGCCATTTGCAGCAACATGGATGGACCTAGACATTATCATATTAAGTGAAGTAAGTCAGACAGAGAAACACAAATACCATATGATATCACTTATAAGTGGAATCTAAAAAAAAAGTGATACAAATGAACTTATTTACAAACCAGAAAGAGACTCACAGACAGAAAACAAACTATGGTTACCAAGGGGGGAGGGGCTGGGAGGGATAAATTAGGGGCTGGGGATTAACAGACACACATTACTATATATAAAACAGATAAACAACCAGGACCTACTGTACAGCACAGGGAACTACATTCAACTTTTTGGAATAACATATAATGGAAAAGAATCTAAAAAGAAAAGAATGAATATATGTATGTATGTGTATAACTGAATCACCTTGCTGTACACCTGAAACTAACATTGTAAATTAACTACCCTTCAAAGAAAATTCTTAAAAGAAAATAAAAATTTTTAAGTTATGTAAACTAACATATGACCAGCAATATCACGCCTAGAAATCTACCAGAGAAAAATGGAAGCACGTGTCCACAGAAATGCATGCACACAGGTTCCTACCAGTGCTTTTGCAGTAGCTAAAAACGCAAACAGCTCAGACGTCTGTGCGCTGGGGAGCGGACGCACACGTGTGGGGTACTCTAAAAAGCAGTAAAAAGGACCCAACCACGAATCCATGCTGAGAGGTGCTCCCGTCCATCACGCCGAGCGAAGGAATCCGGATGTGAGACTACGTATTATGTGATCCCAAGTGCAGGAAATGTCCAGAAAAGCCATATTTATCAAGAGAAGGCTCGACCTGCGCCCCCCGGGCTGGGGGCGGGAGGCAGCGATCAGACACAAATGAGTGTTTTTCGGACGGTGGAAACACTCTGAAGCTGGAAGGTCACGATGATCAAACAAGTCCACAAATTTACAAGAACTCGTAGAATTATCCAGTCACGATGGGTGGCTGCACGGCAAATTATACTCAAAACGCAGCTGTAGAAAAGACGGAAGGCGTGGAGGCAACATACCCCTCCCCCCAGGCCCGCAGCCACGTGGGGCCCTCGGGCCGCCCCCCTGCACCCAGGCCTCCAGCACGAGCCGCGGGGCTCGGATTTGCACGTCTGGGGAAGCACAGAAGGACCAAGCCTGGGTCCCACAAGACCCAGCCCTACGACGCACGGCCACCGGCCTGCAGCGGGACCTTCTGGGGGCTCCGAGCCCAGAGGGAGCAAGCCCCCTTGGGGCACACGGGAAACAGGCGGAGAGCGTGTCCACACACCGCCATCCTCCGCGCCTCCCGTCGGTCTCGCTGGTCCACGCCCCCCGACTCCCGGTCCCCCCACCAGGTCTCCACGGAGCCCCCTCCCCCGTCACGCAGGCTCCGCTCGTCAGGCGGCCTTTGCTGTCCGCCCCCCCGCCCCCGCCCCGCCCCGCGGCACTTGGCGCTGAGCCCCCGCGCAGCTCGCCCTGCGCCCGCAACCTCCCCGCTGCCCCTGGGCAGGCTGCACTGTGTCTGCAGCCGCTCTTCCAGGCCGTTCGCCGTCACGAGGCCGCCCCGTCCACACTGAATTCCGTCGTCACGCGGCGGC